GCTTTTTTCTTTTTGCTTATGTGGTGCTGGGGAATTGAACCCAGGGCCTCAGGCATGCAAGGCAAGCACTCTACCACTGAGCCACCTTCCCAGCTCTTGATTCTAATTCTATACCAGTACTTCTGCCTTGTGTCATTTGCTGTAGGAGAAACAAGTCTGTCTCTTGGAGAGGATTAGAGAACATTACCTGCTGGCTAAATTCCAGAGTGTCCTGCAATGGCGACAAGAAGACAGATATTGAACTCTACAGAAGCCAATCTGCAAACACAGCATCCCAGACTCACATCTGCCCCCTGAGACTTCTCTAACACCACTGAGGCAGGAGAGATGGGGGAGGGGACACAGAGGAGACATCGATTTACTTTTTTTTTCTTTTGGGTCTGGTCGTGGGGCCTGAACTCTGGGCCTGGGCACTGTCTCTCAGCTCTTCAGCTCAAGGCTAGTGCTCTACCACTTGAGCCACAGTGCCACTTCCTACTTTTTTCTTTTTTTGCTTATGTGGTGCTGAGGAATCGAACCCAGGGCCTCATGCATGCAAGGCAAGCGCTCTACCACTGCCTTCCCAGCCCTCGATCTACTTTTGATAAATAGAAAAAGGACCAGACTCAGGAAGCAACTAAAAAGGCAGTTACCCTTCCATCTACTCAAATGCTATGTTACAAGAGCTAGGAGACCTCATAGGGGCTATCTACATCTGCTCTCTTTGTTAAAATGGTAAGATAGAAAAATCAAGCAACTCTGTAAATGGGTAGAGACAGAAGATGACAAGCTTGTCTGGAGAGTGGATGTCCTAAAACTCAATTGTTGTTCCCGTAATTCAGGTAGAACAGAGATAGCTCCATAGTTTAGAATACTAAGCAGACCGCTCCATAGTTTAGAATACTAAGCAGCATCTCTCTTAGCCACTGAGAATCATTGCCTGGGTTGGAGGCTGCCAGCTCAGAAAGAATACAGACAGCAGATGACAGCTGTAAACTTTTAAGTGCCCCCTCCTGCATTTGGGGTAGGAAATGTTTTCCCTCTAACCTTCTTCTTCTGAAAGAAATCATTGGTAAAACTTTCATCTTACGAGTCTCCCTCCTTTTCAGCAGACACCATGCCATGCCTTTCATGAAGCTTAGGGAGACCCTCATGCATTCTCTGGTGAGAGTTTTAATATTTCTTTGACATTTGCAATTGCATGAGAAAAGAAAACGTCACATAGGCCCATGGACCTCCCCAGAACTAACCTGAGTGTAGCCACATTTCTTATCCTAAAAAAAAAAATCTGTCAACCATGATTTTCAGCCACCAGAAACTTCCTTACCTTATGAATTCCTGAAGTAGACAAACAGCCCTGCACCCAGGAAGAGCAGCCCCAGCACAAAGCCCCCAACGCCACTCATCATCTTGCCCTGCACAGATCCAGATTGGGGCTCTGAAAGGAGACGCCAGGATTAGTTACGCGTGTACAAAATCAGAAATTCTCTCATGAGATCCTGAGACTCAGACTCTTGAGGACAAAGCCTGTCCAGATAAATGAGATTTGGCTGTTCCTGGAAATAAGAGAATTAAAAATCATCTTGAGCTCAGTACCAGTTACTCATGTCTGTAATCCTAGATAGTCAGAGGCTGAGATCTGAGGATTGTGGTTGGAAGTCAGCCTAGGCAGAGAAGTCTATGAGGACCACATCTCCTATTGACCATGCAAAACCCAAAAGTGGAGCTGTGGGTCAAGTGGGACATTGCTAGCCTTGAGAAAGGAAGCAAAAGGACAGCAACCAAGCCGTAAGTTCACACCTTAGTACTAGCATGCACCTGCACCCAACCCATCACCCTGCATAACTGAAAGGTTTATACACTGAACTCATGGCATGCACCTGCACCCAACCCATCACCCTGCAAAACTGAAAGGTTTATACACTGAACTCATGTAATTGTCACAGGGCTGAAGTGCCACCAGGTCTCTGAAAACTGTGGAGCTCAGTCATGTTATAGAGTTGGTAAAGCATGGGCTGGGAAGGTGGCTCAGTGGTAGAGCACTTGCCTTGCATGCCTGAGGAGGCCCTGGGTTTGATTCCTCAGTACCACATAAGCAAAAAAAGAAAAAAGTCAGAAGTGGCACTGTGGCTCAAGTGGTAGAG